AATGTGAGACAAAAGGAGAATTCAAAACAATCCTGGGTTGTTAAGACACAGCAATCTCCTGCCTTTAACTCTTGCCGTCCCTTTGCCTGCGCTCGGTGCTAGTTCTTCAGGGTCCTGAAATGGTCTGACCTGTCGTTGGGCAGCTGTGACGATTCGTGACATGCCTGGAGTGGGGGGGGGGGGGGTTTTGGGGGGGGGTGTTTCCCCCAGGGCCTCCCCATCTTGATCTGCCCATGAGGTGCTTTGGGCAGGGCTGGACCTACTCAGCAATGTCGCAGGTAGCTAGGCGAGGCGGGCTATCAGGAGAAGTGCTATTTATGTCTGGCGACGGTTGTGCCTGGAGACCCTGCTCAGAATCAGGGACCCGTTGTGCTAGGTGCGATACAAAAACCTAGGAAGAGGCCAGCCCCGCCCCAAAGAGCGCACAGGATAACAGGGGCTCTTAGTAGGGATGGAAATACCCCTTGAAAAGTTAACCGGATAAATGATATAATTTTAATAGTGTAACTAGTTAAGCAGGGTCCAGACAGCTCACTCTTCCAGCCTTGTGTGGGTGGTGGGGCTGTTCTGGGCCACAGAGGGAGGGGAGCTGTGCCCCCTCTGTTAACCTTTTATATCCCTAGCTCCAGTGCTTTTTTTTTGTGATGGTACTGCCCAGTACTCAGTACCAGTACCTCCAGATGCAGTACTGGCACCTCCAGTCAGAGCTCACCAACTTTTCCCCTGGAGTACCGGCACCTTTTTACAAGAAAAGCACTGCCTAACTCCTGCAGACCGGCACACAAGCCATGCAGGGAATTACTGTCCACGTCCCCTGGACTCCTGCATGGCAACATCACTGTTAAAATGGGGATAGATTTTATCGTCTTGTATCTAACCAATCACCATGACTTGAGGGCAGCAAGTGTGACCAAGGCATTGAATAGCACCCGCTGACTCAAACTCTCCCTTCGCAGGTTCTTTCCCGGCTTTCCTCTAAACAATCTCAGTAACCTCCCTTCTCTGGAATGCTACAGTCATGGGACCTTGGCATGCGGGCTTTGGCGCTGGTGTGACACGGGGCGTCAAATGCAGGGCCTTCCCAACCGCTCCTTGGATGTGTGGCGGAGGGGGTTTTGCTGAGTGCTGGTAGTGGCAGTGCAGGGAGGTTGACCTCTGCGCTTTCTCCTGCAGGCTTGGGAAGAGGGCCTGTCTTTTGGGTCTCGATTGTTGATGGTGTTTCACGGCACTTCTAGAGCACTCCTTGCAGGAAAGTCTGAGCAACCTCTCCTTATAAATTGTGTCATCCTGTCCTCAGAATTGGAGCTCAATAGGGCAGGAGGTAGCTCCCGGGAAAGGGAGACTTTCCCCAGTTCAGATCCAGTTCCACTCAGTAGTAACTAAAAGCTGTTACCATCTAATGGCCGTTTGATTGCTGGTGCCAGACGAGATGGTTGTCTCAGTGTAGTGCCGAATGGGCACCTGGTGTGAACTGGAGCTTTGCTGGCAGTGGCAGCCAAAGCACCAAAGTCTGAATAGGGGCAGAGAGGCTGAAATGTTCTCTGATGCCTTCGAAGTGGATGCCTCCAGATCCGGGTGTGAAACGCACTGTCAGAGGAGGAGGCCACAGCTGTGAGTAACCAGAGGACTCGGGAGGGCTGTCAACCTAGCACCTCCCACCAGCTCTAAATTCACATCTAACTACAGCCAGCATGATGAGTGGCTTGCTGCTAAACCAATGGGACTGAGCATGTGAGCCACGGCATGAATAAAGTCCATTTTGCCACGTTGTCCGGGTGCTCTATTGAAGACCAAGAGGGAGAAGCCAGAGCTTACACGCCGATGCCCTGATCCAGCTGACTGATGCACATGCTCAGAGCCATACGCTGTGAGCACTTCCGTTGGCTTCAATGGAGCAACTCCCCATGCAGACAGGTAAACACAGAACCACAGCGCAATAGGTCTGGAAGGGACCTGGAGACAAGGCTTTGCAGTATCTGCACCTGGGACAAAGCCTGTAAAATGAATGAGTCTCTACTGATTACTGACCCTTTTATATGCAGCCCTTACCAGATAGTCCACAAAGCCCAGTTCTTCGGCATGGTCTCCTGGTGGGAGCCAGCGAGCTGCTGGCTGGGACAGCCCATGCAGGGCCGGCCCAAGCCATTTTGGTGCCCTGCGCCCAGGCCACTGCTCTGCCCCCAGCATGCACGGCCCCACCTCCGGGCGCATGATGCATGCGCGGGCCCACCCCCGGGGCGCGTGGGCGGACACACGGCGCATGCGCTGCCCAGTCGGCCCGGCCACTGCTGATGGCGCACAGCCCGGAGCTGCCCGGGGCGGTCTGCACCTGGCTGTGCAGGGCCCTGCAGCCGCAGGGGGAAGGGTGCTGCTGGCTGGTGCTGTGGGGGTTAACATGGCTCCCACCCCAGGCGGCCTACTGGGAGCCGGGCGCCCCCCGTAGGTTAGCGCCCTGGGCAGCTGCCCGGCTAGCCCACCCCTTAGTCCGGCCCTGAGCCCACAGCACGTCATTCCCACCATCCCTAAGGATCATGCTGTAAAGGGTTTTATAGCCCCTGGAGATTTTGCATGACTTCTCCTGAGCTGGAGAAACAAACCGTAGCCTTCTGTGAGCCAACCTTGCGCAGTGCCTATATCCTCTAGCGAGAGGTGCTTTCAAAGCGCCTTAGGCTCCACTTCAGCCTTGAAGTTTTCCTGTCCACATGGAATACAGGAAATCCCGATTCTCCTGGCAGAGGAGGTGAATACAACAGAAAACAGCCACACCTACAAACTCTGCAAAGCTCTCCTTAAGTCTTGGTTTACCTGGAGCCCCACCCCCCATCTGAAGCACTGTGCAGTGCCCAGAGACATCTCGTGGTGGAATAGAATACTGCAAGTGTGCGCGTGGCCACAGGAAACGTGATTTAACAATTCATCGTGTGGCAGCTAGTTGGACTTCAGGGAGGCTGCTACTTTGGAACAGGCAAAGGGTGCGAGTTGCCCTCCAGGATGCAAACCGGTTCAACAGCCTATCACGTGGCCGAGCACCAGAGCTCACCAGACCAGTAGTCTGGCCCTTGCCAGGGGGCTTGGTGCTACTCTGGAAATTCAGTCGGAAATAGCCAAAAGGAGGAATTTGGTGCCTTGTTTTTCTTTCTCTCTCTCTCATTGGACCTCTAGGCCCCGATCCCAGGAAAAGAAGGTGTTTGCTCTGGTTGTGAGTCTCGCAGGCCAACTGACACACGGCTCTGATTAGCCAGGGCAGACCCTGGTGTTGGCACAAGGCCGCTGAGGAATGGTGCAGACAGTCTGTCCCGGTGGCTTCTTCTCTGTAGGTGGGGCTGGCAGCTGTGGGGTTGGCAGCTCTGCTGAGAAGGGGGAGGGAATCTGCAGAAGAGCCAGAGGTTACTGGGGCCTTTAAACCACCCAGCAAGGGCGAGAGAGGATCTCAGTGAAGAGAGGGAAAAGGAGGCTGCTTGGGTCCCCTGCTGAGCCCAGACTGAGAGCCCTGCCACAGCCAGACAAGCATTGTCCCCAGGGAGCTCTGCCAGGGCGTTTTGAGCCCTCCCTGCTGCCCCCATCTGTTTGTCCTGTAGCTCTGCTGACAGACCTCACACCAGAGTTGCAGCCCTCCCCCCGATAATACAGGCCTGGCCATTTCCCTACTCAGAGGCTGCTAACCATACCTGACTGTTGCCGGGCGTCGTTCTAGGGCAGGGGGCTCCAACCTTTTTAAGCACGAGATCGCTTTTTGAATTTAAGTGCAATCCAAGATCTACCTCAGATATAAATACCCTGGGCCCGCCTCCTTCCTGTCCCTTTTCCGAGGCCCCGCCCTTGCTCACTCCACCCTCCCTCTCTTGCCCATCCTCACTGACTTTCATCAGGCTGGGGCAGAGGGTTGGGGGCAGGCTCTGGTCTTGGACTAAGGGACCTGGAGTGTGAGAGGGGCTCTGAGCTGAGCTCGGGGCAGGCAGTTGGGGTGCAGGAGGGGGTTCTAGGTGCAGGCTTTGGGAGGGTGTTTGGATGCAGGGATGCTTGGGGCTGGGGTTGGGGTGCAGGAGGGGGTTCGTGACTGGGGTAGGAGTATGGGATGTGGGCTCCAGCTGGACGCTGCTTACCTCAGGTGGCTCCTGGGTGGTGGTGCAGTGGGGCTAAGGCAGGCTCACCCCTGCCCTGGCCCTAGACCTGGACCACTCCATAAAGCAGCCAGCAAACTCCATCCCAAGTCCTGTTGTACCCCCTTTCTGCTCTGTGGAGACTGGAAACAGAGTGGGAGGGGCACCCTGACATCAGCACCCCTCCTCCCTTCCCCTGCGCTACACAGCAAGCAGGATGCTCCCCAGGGGGCGGGACAGCTCCAAGGTAATGGGCAGGAGACATGCAGCAGTAGTTGGAGGGGCAACTGAAGAGCCGGCACTTGATAGCCTCTTGGCCAAACCAGTCAGGATCCCCTGTCAGAGGATCCAAGATCTGCCAGTACATCCCAATCGACTGGTTGATAACCACTGTTCTAGGGCCCCTTCTGGGTGCCAGTCGCAGAGCACAGTGTGTTCCTGTATGTGAGTGAGCCTCCAGGGAAAAGTGACCTAATCAAATCTGTACTGAACAGGGCACTGGCCACGGCCAGCATGCGGGCACAACACACAGGGACGCTTTGAGAAATTCCACCCATTTGCACAGATCGCTGGCCAGACTTTAAAGCTGCCTAAAGACCCTGCTTCATTCTCCTGTCCTGCCCCAGCATTTCATGCCTTGATCCTAGTATAAAACTCACCCCATGCACTCTCCCACACACCTGTCTTGCTTAGAAATGGGTTTTCCTCCATCCGAGAGGTCTGCCAAGCCCCCCATGCTGCAAACCTGGCTGGAGGTCGAGTCCTCTGCAGCCCCACACCTGCGCTGCCACGATTGCTCCTGTGTTGGATGCACTGCAATTGATCTAGCGGGTTAACCCCAATATAAAGCCCTCGGCAGCCCAGGGGGAGGCTGTAACGTTGTTGTCTGGTGCATTTCAGGAGGAAGAGGATGGACGTGCTGCTCCAAAGGGTGTGGGCCAGGCTGCTCCTGTTGGTCGTTGCCTGTGATGTATGCCTGTGCCAAAAGAGCAAAAGTAAGTTCAGCTCTTCTGGGTCTCTCTTGGGGACGCTCCTGAAGTCCAGGGCCCAGGGCATGTGTCTCCCCAGATGCCTTTTCCCGGCCTGGGAACCAGCCTCCTTGTATCTGCTTCTATTCCAGTCACCCGAGAAGCTGAATATGTGGCAGAGCTTGTGGGTAGGGTCCTGTCTGCTAGCTCGGCCCATGTACTATCCAGCAGACACTGCTCTTTAACACGCCCTATGAGCTCTTCGTGAGCTCTCTCTCCATAGCTTGCTCCTGTTTGCTCTGCCTGACATACACGCTGGCTCTGGTTTTGAGACAGCTCCCACTGAGTCTGTGCTAAAACTCCTAGTGAGGGGGGGCAGACCCAGCCCCCTCCCTTCATGGCTTGCCCTTTCTCGCTTTCCAGGGTTGGGCCAGGCTGACTTCTTCCCCTCTTGATGCCTTCGATCTTGCCTCCTAGTTAACAGCTGCGTGGCCTCCAGGGCGAGAAGCTGCACGGCGTGTATCCGAGTGGACAAGACCTGCTCCTACTGCACAGATGAGGTGAGAGCCTCCCCTCCCAGGGCTGTGTCATGCAGTCTGGTCACGTGGCCTTTCGCTAGCAAGAGGTGTTCCACGAGGGGAACCTGTGTTAGGATCCAGCTTCATAATGGAGCCCTTTCCCTCGCACGGACCAGATTCTGGCTTTGGGAATGAGTGGCTCCAGGTGTCTGTGTGTCTGTCTGCCTGTCACAAATGCACACTCAGGTTATGTCTACACTGCAGAGGTTTTTTTCGGAAAAAGGCCGCTTTTCCAAAAATTTTCATTTACGTCCACACTGCAAGTGCGTTCTTTTGGAAACATGTTTGAATCCCGGGCTTCATTTGCGGCTCCAGTTGCCTGATTTGCCTGCCTGGCTCGAATTGACGAGCTAGTGTAGACATACCCTCTCTGGGGCACCTGGTGCTGTCCACTGTCGGGAGACAGGCTACTGGGCTAGATGGACTTTTGGTCTGACCCAGTTCGGCCGTTCTTATGTTCTTAGGGGTTTTTCCGACACTGGTAAACCTCTTTCTACAACGGAGAAGCCTTTTTCCGAAAGAGCTCTTTTGGAAAGAGGAAAAAGCACAGGTGCCCTGGTGGCCGCTCCAGCCATAGTAATCCCCGCTGAAATGCAAGATAGCGTCCATTCAGTGTGGACGCAATCTTTCAAAAAAGCAGATTGCTTTTTTGATGTGCTTTTGCTGTGTGGATGCTCTCTTTCAGAGGAAGATTTTTCAGAAGATCTCTTCCAAAAAAGCGTCTCCCGAAAGAAGCGTGCAGTCTAGACATAGCCACAGACAGAGGATGGGGGTGTGCCAAGGTTTTGGCTCTGACCCGTCTCTCTTTTGACCTGCTGTCTCCTCAATGCAGCCTTTTGCTCAGACTGCTGGTTTGGGGAGCTGTATAAGAGACTCCTTTAGATTCTGCTCTCTCAAGAAATGGGCAAAAAGGAGCTGAACTTGGAGGCAGTGTAAGCCCAGGATGGGGGCAGGTTGTGGTGAGCTCTGAGCAAGGACCTCGCTGCTCAGGATTAGACCCCAGCCCCTAAAGGCTGCATGAGAGCAACAGGTGGGCAGTTGCGCCCTATGTGCCATATTGTGAGATGAAGGGCTGTGCAGTGAGGGGCTGTGCCCCATTGGTTCCTGGCTTCTAGTCTCTCCAGTTACAAGTTACCATGGAGCTGATCTGCCCAGGCATGAGCTGGATCAGCCCAGGGGCGGGAGGTGCAAAGCGTTTCCTGCAGAGCTGCCTTGGCAGATTTCCAGCACAGGGCGGGGGTCGCTCAGGGGAAATGCGTCTGCTGGCTCCATGCGTGGCAGAGGAAGGTAGGTGGGAGCAGGAACAGGAGGGACTCAAGTGAGCCAAGGATGTGGGAAATGAGGAATTTGTAAGAGGGCTTTGTTCCATTTCAGACTCGGACAAGGCTAACCCTTGGCCCACTAGAGAGGGAGAGGGCAGGGGAGGGGGAGCAGAGGGGAAATGGGAGGTAAAACTCAGGTGGGTGATGCACAGAGTGCTAAGCATGGACCACAATGGGGGGGGGGGGGGGAAAAGCCAACAGGGGGGGGGGGGGGCAGCTCTCCGGTGGGGGGGGGCAGCGTTTGCAGGGGGACAGCACTGATGGGCTGAACACCCTGGTCCTCTCGAATGGGAGGGGAAATGGGGCCCGCGATGGCGAGCAGTGAGGAGCAGTCTCTAAAGAAGCAGAAACGTGTGCCCAGGCGAGCTGTTTCCGCTCCTTGCTCCTGTCCTAGCGGAGGAGGGGCTGGCCATGGGACACCCCAAACGCATCCTGTCCAGGCAGGACTCTGTTCATTTCCTACCTCTGGTTTTTCCTTCCCTGTGATCACAGATCTTCAAAGAATCCCGATGTGACCTGAGAGAGAACCTGATGAGCTATGGCTGCAGTGAGGCCAACATCATGTCCGTGAGAGGGGAAATGCAGGTGCAGCAGGTGAGCAAAGGGCAGCTGATCTGTGGCAATAACCCACCAATGCTTTGGTCCTTGTTTTCTTGGCAAGCTTTTCTCCTCATTGCTTGTGGACAGCTCTTCAAGGGACATCGCCATGTCCCAAACTCGCCTTGTAGTCAGCTACGAAACTCCCCTCCAGATTCCTAAATACTTGGTTGCAATTCTTCACAGTGAGGTGAATATAATACCAGCAGCTATTGTTTATGTAGGGCCCACTCAAAAACAGGGCGCACCCTTTGCTAGCTGGGCTGATTACATGCCCCCTTCTCCAAGTCCTGCTGGTGCAACAAGTGTATGAACAAAAAGGCAGGCTCATGTAAAATTCCATGAGAGAGGCAGCTAGATGGACTAATTCGAGGGGGACGGGGACATGGGATAACTCAGCCTTTCACCTGTAGGTCACCAGTCGGAATTTAGCCCAGGTGGAGAGCTGACTAGGAAAGGAGCAAGAAAATGTCCCTGATCGTTCTCCGGCCTATTGGAAATATTGATGGAACAATGTCGTTGACATTGGACCCATGTTGCCTAACTCCAGTTAACAGCTGTTGATTGGAAGCCCTGGTGCCTGTCTGAGATGACAGCCAGTTCCTCGTGGAAAGGGGTAACGGCCACACCCATCCGCCCTATGGGCACCGAGGCCTTGTCAGCAGGGAGGATTTTGGACAACTCTCTCCACTGTTGCGCTCGTACAGTGTAGCCCCTCCAGCTGCAGGTGTCCTAGCACTGTCCTGACACTCTGCCCAAGTAATATGGTGTTAAAAGTGCTGGATGGCCTCTCCGGGCCTCCCCTTTGCCAATGCTGGTGCAACTGGAGTGAGATGGGCAATGGGACATGGCTAGGCACCATCCCTCATGCTGACAGGACAGTGGAATAAATTGCTCTCAAAGCTCCCGTTCCTCAGACACAGTCAGCCAGGGCCTGGCCTTAGCGATCCACCTCTGTTAACACAAAAGCAAACAGACGTCTCCCGCTGGGGATTTCACCCAGACTCACCGGGGCACAAGCATTTCCCACTGGCGTCAGTCCTGCCAATTGTTCCCAGCAGCCCTTTCCCTGAGCTCCTGCCAGAGGGAGGAGCATGGACGTAAACCTATTCTTCACCAGACATCAGGTGTTACCCCTGCTCCCCATCACAACCACCAGGGTTGAATCTCCTCTGCTGCTGGGCTGACACTTTTCTGTCTCTCCTCTGACAGAATTTTAGCATTGACACATCTCTGAAGAAAACCCAGGTGGCCCCGCAGCGGATGTCCATGCGGCTGAGGGCAGGTGAAGAGGTCAGCTTCGACATGGACGTCTTCCAGCCCCTTGAGAGCCCCGTAGATCTCTACATTCTCATGGACTTCTCCTACTCCATGTCAGATGACTTGAGCAACCTCAAAAAGATGGGGCAGAATCTAGGTGAGACTGGAGCTGGTCAAGCTGGGTGAGGAGGGGAAGCCAGGCCCCCTATTCGCAGTACGGGCAGAGAACCTTCAACCAGGGCAGGGAAGAGCAGCACAACCAGCAGAGAGGCTGTGTGCATCTGTGTCATTGGCCCTCGCTGCTTAGTGACACTCTTGCTCTCTCTGGCCTGGGGTCCCTCTCCCCACCGGAGTGTTCCTTCTGGCCCACACTGCACACAGGGCCTATTACGAGCCCTCTTTTCTAGTCTTGCCCTAAGCAAAGCTGGGAACCAGTGTGCTAGAGAGCTGCTGTGTTCTGTGTGGAGCCCAATGACCCCCATGCTTGGCTCCTCTCAGCCCATAAGCCTTCGCACTAGCCAAGAGCCTGCCTGGAATTCCAGTGCATCCCAGCTCATGGCTGGCTCTCTCTCCTTTCCCACCAGCGGAATTCCTGCAATCCCTGACCTCCAATTACACCATCGGATTTGGCAAGTTTGTGGACAAAGTCTCCTCTCCACAAACAGACATGAGACCTGCTAAGTAAGTGAAGCGGTGGGACCCCAATGGATGGGCTTCTGTGTGATTGGTCAGGGAATGCTAGTCTGTCTCCCCATTGGCTTCCCCACTCCTCAGTCTCAAGAGCTCAAATCCCCACCGGGTTTCTTCTCTTGCTTTGATAACTGCAACCCTCCCCTTTCCTGCTTTCCTGCCCTCCACACCAGTGTCTCCCAAACACCACTGTTAATGCCATCTGCTTCCTGCCCTCCACGCTGTCTCCCCCAAACACCACTGCTGATGCCATCTGCTGCATGTCCTGCCAAAGTCCCACAGCGGCTCTTCTTCTTGGCTTCTCCTTTCCTACCATAACAAATCTGAGCTGTATGTCCTCTTATAGAGCTTAAGGCCAGAAGGGACCAGCTCATCTAAACTGGCCTTCTGTATGTCACCAAAAGCCACTCAGCCATCTCCACACAAAGCCAAGCCGACAGCCAAAATCAGAGCAAAGTATTACCACTTTCGGGAGACTAGACTACTGGATGCCTTCAGAGCCCTCATAGACTCATAGACTCATAGACGTTAAGGTCAGAAGGGACCATTATGATCATCTAGTCTGACCCCCTGCACAGTGCAGGCCACAGAATCTCGCCCACCCCTCTTAGAATAATCCTCTCACCTATGTCTCAGATATTGAAGCCTTCCAATACTTTGAAGGCCCCAACATGCAGAGAGTCCTTCAGCTGTGATCTGTGCCCAATGCTACAGAGGAAGGCGAAAAACCTCCAGGGCCTCTGCCAATCTACCCTGGAGGAAAATTCCTTCCTGACCCCAAATATGGCGATCAGCTAAACCCTGAGCATGTGGGCAAGACTCACCAGCCAGACACCCAGAAAGTTCCCTATAGCAACTCCTATCATCCCTCCATTGACCTATTTCCAACTGGAAATGAATGGTCAATTAGTTACCAAGATCATGTTATTTCATCCAACCATCCCCTTATCATAGAATCAGAACTGGAAGAGACCTCAGAAGGTCGTCAAGTCCAGCCCTCCGCTCTAGGCAGGACCAATCCCATCTAAATCAACCCGGCCAGGGCTTTGTCAAGCCGAGACTTAAACACCTCTAGGGATGGAGACTCCACTACTTCCCTAGGTAACCCATTCCAATGCTTCACTACCCTCCTAGTAAAATAGTTTTTCCTAATATCCAATCTGGACCTCTCCCACCACAACTTGAGACCATTGCTCCTTGTTCTGCCATCTGTCACTACTGAGAACAGCCTCTCTCCATCCTCTTTGGAACCTCCCTTCAGGAAGTTGAAGGCTGCTATCAAGTCCCCCCTCACTCTTCGCTTCTGCAGACTAAACAGACCCAAGTCCCTCAGCCTCTCCTCGTAGGTCATATGCTCCAGACCCCTAATCATTTTGGTTGCCCTCCGCTGGACCCTCTCCAATGCGTCCGCATCCTTTTTGTAGTGGGGGGCCCAGAACTGGACACAGTACTCCAGATGTGGCCTCACCAAAGCCGAATAAAGGGGAATAATGACATCTCTGGATCTGCTGGCAATGCTCCTCTTAATGCATCCTAATATGCCATTAGCTTTCTTGGCTACAAGGGCACACTGTTGACTCATATCTAGCTTCTCATCCACTGTAACCCCCAGGTCCTTTTCTGCAGAACTACTACTTAACTGGTTGGTCCCCAGCCTGTAACTATGCTTGGGATTCTTCCGTCCCAAGTGCAGGACTCTACACTTGTCTTTGTTGAATCTCATGAGATTTCTAGTGGCCCAATCCTCCAATTTGTCCAAGTCACTCTGGACCCTATCTCTGCCCTTAAGCGTATCTACCTCTCCCCCTAGCTTAGTGTCATCTGCAAACTTGCTGAGGGTGCAATCTATCCCCTCATCCAGGTCATTAATAAAGATATTGAACAAAACCGGTCCTAGAACCGAACCTTGGGGCACTCCACTAGAAACCGACCTCCATCCTGACATCGAACCGTTGATCACTACCCGCTGGGCCCGGCCTTCTAGCCATCTTTCTATCCATCTTACCGTCCATTTATCCAATCCGCATTCCCTTAACTTGCTGGCAAGAATATTGTGGGAGACCGTATCAAAAGCCTTGCTAAAGTCAAGGTATATAACATCCACTGACTTTCCCATGTCCACTGAGCCAGTTACCTCATCATAGAAGCTAATCAGATTGGTCAAGCACGACTTGCCCTTTGTGAATCCATGCTGACTATTCCTGATCACTTTCCTCTCATTCAAGTGTCTCAAAATGGACTCCTTTATGATCCCTTCCATGATTTTTCCAGGAACCGAGGTAAGACTGACCGGCCTATAGTTCCCTGGATCGTCCTTCTTCCCTTTTTTGAAGATGGGCACTACATTTGCCTTTTTCCAATCATCCGGGATTTCGCCCGATCTCCACGACTTTTCAAAGATAATGGCCAAAGGCTCCTCAATGACATTTGCCAACTCCTTCAGTACCCTTGGGTGCATTAAGTCTGGACCCATGGATTTGTGTACGTTTAGTTTTTCTAAATAGTTCCTAACCTGTTCTTTACCCACCAAGGGCTGTCCATCTTCTTCCCATCTTGCGTCGCTTAGCACAGAAGTCCAGGAGCCGACCTTGTCCGTGAATACAGAGGCAAAGAAAGCATTGAGTACTTCAGCTTTCCCCACATCCTCTGTCACTAGGTTACCTCCTTCATCCATTAGGGACTGCACACCCTCTCTGATCACCTTCTTCTTGTTGACATGCCTGTAGAAACCTTTCTTGTTATCCTTCACATCCTTAGCCAGTCGCAACTCCATTTGCGCTTTCGCCTTCCTGATAACCCCCCGGCATTCTCGAACTATACATTTAAGCTCCTCCCTAGTCCTACATCGTCTTGCTCCCACTCACGGCTTTGTGCCCATTCCCAATGCCCCTCCCAGTCTCCTTGCCTGACTGTTCCATGTGTTGCTTTTTGGACCTCTCAGCTTCATGCCTTGGTGCTGCCTTGCAGCCTGGAAAAGGGGCTCATTGTTCCAGGCGCTCCTGTCTCTCTTGCTTCTAATCCTTCTTTATGCACCGATTCCTCCAGGTATCTCTTCTGCCTTCTCACCTCATCAGGGCCATCCTTACCCCTATGCAGCTGCATAGGGCGCCACTGGGTCCTAATGTCCACCCATCCACCTCTTCTTATCCCTGTTCTGTGGCTCTGCTTCCTCTGGAGAGGATCCAGTTAACGTAAAAGGGGAAAAGCCTGCCAGACCTCTTAGGAGAACACTGAACCTGTGAAGGAGCCATTCACAGATAATAAAGAGGCATTTAAAAGGCTTTTGTCAACCCCAGGTTTATATGGTCTGTTTTTTAATTTACTGTGTTAGGGTATGTCTACACTTGCCCCCTACTTCCAAGTAAGGAGGCAAATGAAGCATACCGAAGTTGCAAATCAAGCCCAGGATTTAAATAGCCCGCGCTTGATTTGCATGTTCCTGGTCGGTCGCCATTTTAGAAATTCACTAGTCCGGAGTAACTGCCCGTGTCTACACGCAGCAGTGAAACGGGAGTCCAATTTAAAGCCCCTAATTTGAATTAGCTGGTAAACCTCATTGCAGAAGGAATACCAGCTAATTTGAGTTAGGGCTTTAAATCGGACTCCCGTTTCACTGCTGCGTGTAGACACGGGCAGTTACTCCGGACTAGTGAATTTCTAAAATGGCGACCGGCCAGGAACATGCAAATCAAGCGCGGGCTATTTAAATCCTGGGCTTGATTTGCAACTTCAGTATGCTTCATTTGCCTCCCTACTTTGAAGTAGGGGGCAAGTGTAGATATACCCTATGTCAACAGGATCTTAGTTTGAAATTTGCTTTAAAAAGATTTCATTGGTGTGTTGCTGAATATTATAAAATCACACCTCTAAAAAATCATCCTTGATCCCCCTCAAAGAGGCTGGAGAAAGGCTGTTCTCAGTAGTGATGGCTGGCAGAACAAGGAGCAATGGTCTCAAGGTACAGTGGAAATGAGGAAAATCTATTTCACTAGGAGGGTGGTGCAGCACTGGAATGGGTTCCCTAGGGAGGTGATGGAATCTCCATCCCTAGAGGTGTTTAAGTCTCGGCTTGACAAAGCCCTGGCTGGGATGATTTAGTTGGGGTGGGTCCTGCCTTGGGCAGGGGGCTGGACTCGATGACTCCTGAGGTCCCTTTCAGCCCTAGGATTCTGAGTCTATGGCTGCGGTTGGTTGCAGGGTTTAATATTAGTGCCTAGGGCTCCATAAACCCCACAGACAGCCCTGATCCTCATGGCTGGCCCTTCCTTGAATGCCTTCTTGCCCCATGCTTTGCCATGGGTTGCAGGGGCAGTACGTGGCTTTGTGCCAGACACTTCTACAGCAACATGTGTGGAGATCTCACGAGGACTCCAGCCCTGCCTCAGTTGAATGCCCTGCCCTCCCCCCCCCCTTTTCTCCATCAGGCTGCAAGAACCCTGGAGGGAGGCCGACCCGCCCTTCTCCTTCAAGAACGTCATCCGCCTGACCAGCAACATCAATCATTTCAGCCAGGAACTGATGAAAGAGCGCATCTCTGGCAACCTGGACGCCCCGGAGGGGGGGTTTGATGCCATCCTGCAGGCAGCCGTTTGCAAGGTGAGCGTGGAGGCTGGCTCCGCTAGACTGCGTATGTGTGGATGGGACAGAGACAGCAGGTGAGATGGGTGACTAGCGATGTGGCCAACCTGAGCTCAGGGCCATGCACGGTGGGAGTTCCTGCTCTCCAGGGATGACCAGTCTGCTGCACCTGCTGCTGCTGTTGAGATGGCAGCTTGCCTTGTCTTCCTAGAGTAGTTCCTCCCAAGAAGGTGTCCCCAGAATGCCAGTTCCAGGGCCAGTCTCAGATCTTGCTGTGCTCCCCTGGGGTTCACTCGCCCTCTGAGATGTTCCCTTGTTCCTAGGGTTGTGTGCATCTGCTCCCCACAGTCCAGCATGACATGGCAGCAGATGTTCTGGCTGGCAGGAGAAATGGATATTTCTCTTAGCAGTAGGCTCACCCTGAGCCATATGTAGCCAGGAAACAGCTTGTTTCTCTGGTGCAGCTGGACCTACTTGGACCACCCCAAAGGCTCGGTGGGAGGTGTGCAATGTGGGGAGCAGGGTTAACCCTCTCACCTCCACCATTTTTTAATTCCCTGGGCAGTGTGGCAGTTTGACATGTGCACTAGTGGTAAAGGCAGGAATTATGAACCAGGACAGGTACCCAAACAACCCCACTGACTTTCAGTGAGGAATGAGGTGCTGTGCTCTGAAAAGCCTCACCTGCCAAGGCCCTTGCAGGGAATCGGCCCAGTGCAGTGTGTTTGATGGGCAAGTGAATCACCTCCCTTCCCTCTGGCCCTAGGAGAACATTGGCTGGAGGACTGACAGCACTCACTTGCTGGTCTTCTCCACCGAGTCCGCCTTCCACTACGAAGCCGATGGCACCAATGTCCTGTCGGGGATTCTGCCGAGGAATGACGAGGCGTGTCATCTGAACCAAGCGGGCACCTACACCTATGACACCTGGCAGGACTACCCCTCTGTGCCCACCCTGGTGCGCCTGTTGAGCCGGCACAACATCATCCCGATCTTCGCCGTCACTAACCACTCCTACAGCTACTATGAGGTGAAAGGGATGGGTGGGTGGTCAGTTGAGTGTGAGGCATAGGGGGATTAAGGCACTGGTCCTGGGGCCAGAGAAGTACCTCAGAGGGCAATTAAGGGACTGTTTAGGAGGAACACTGTGTGGCTGTGATATCTCTGTCTGGAGAGTCACATATCAGCCTATGGTTTGGCTGTGAAGGTGGGTGAGGTAATACCTGTTGTTGGACCAACTGTGGTTGGTAGTTTGGCTCTAATGTAGCAAAGGGAGTGATGGTCACAATCCAAGGGGTCAGCCAGTTATGAATTCTCTGTTGGAACAATTTTCCAATGGAAAATGTCCTTTTCTTAACATTTTTGAAATTTTCTGTGGGGAAAGATCTCCATTTGGACAAAACAATCCCACTTTCCCTCGAGTGTCACTTTCTGCCTGCCAGAGAGGCAGCCCGAAAAGCACAATATGTCAACTGGGTTCTCCCAAAGCTGAATTTTTTCAGCCCTCTCCCTTGTTGGCATATTCCAGCATTTTCCCTTCCCCTCGAGTCTCTCCCCTCTCCTGCGATGGTGCAAAAAGGGCCTGGGATGTGGCCCCGCTGCCCACTCTGACCTGGGCACTGCAGCTCAAGGCATGGAGGTTCCTGACTCAGATGTGATGAGCCTCAGTGGGAGCTGTAGGTGCTCAGCACTTTTGAACCTGGAGTCTTAAAATACGTTCTCAGGGAGAGTCGGGAGGGATGTTCCTTCCTCCTCTGATGGGTTAAACCATGTCACCTAATCTGCCTTCATCTTCAGCGAGTGCCATAGACGGTGTTAGCCTGATAGTTCTGGGATGGTGCAAAGCCACTACTGGGCACTATCAGAACCCCCCATTCTGACTTCCCATCGGCGCAGTGCGGCTGGGCAGGGCCTGAGTTTGTTTCTCCAGAGTCCTCCAGGGTCCGGCTTTCAGTTTGGCCTGTTCGAGAGATAGAAGCCAGCTGTAAACTTCCAGTCTGGATCAGAACCATTCTGCAGTTTGTGCACAGTGAAACCCAGCAATCCAGCCCTCTGTTACCGATTTATGGAAATTAACCCTTGCATGGGTGTCTCCAGGGCTACAGAGTTAGTGCAAGGGTTTGGGGCTTAGTGTCTCCTCCCTTTATTTTGCAGAAGCTGCACAAGTATTTCCCCATCTCTGAAATTGGGGTGCTGCAGGAAGACTCCTCCAATATCTTGGAGCTAATTCGTGTGGCCTTTGAGGTAAGAGACAGCTTTGGGGAATCTCAGTCTGGCTCACAGAATCTAACCACTGGGCATGGGAAGCAATGTGCAAGGGAAAGACCTGTGGGGCTCTCTGCAACCCCCTGGGCAGGCAGGTGAGATGGGATATTGTGGATGGGTTCTATTTTGAAGATGATAATAAACAGAGATACACCTATCTCATAGAGCTGGAAGGGACCTTGAGAGGTCATCAGGTCCAGGCCCCTGCCCTCATGGCAGGACCAAGTACCATCCCTGACACATTTCCCCCAGATCCCTTAATGGTCCCCTCAAGGGTTGAACTCACAACCTGGGGTTTAGCAGGCTAGTGCTCAAACCACTGAGCTATCCCTCCCCGAGCAGCATTGGAATCTATCTTTTGTTCTTCCTTCGCAGCGTATCCGTTCCAAGCTGGACATCCGGGCGGACTTAATCCCTAAGTCCATGAAGACAGACTTTACCTCCTTGAAATATGAAAAGACAGAGTCTGGCTCGTTCCAAGTCACCCGAGGGGAAGTGGTAAGTCCTACACCTAGTTTCTATCCGATTGTTCCGGTGCTTGCAGTACCCAGGGTTGAGAATCACCTTGTTCGTTACCTCCTTGCTTCCAGCGTGAGAGACTTGATTGTGCTGAACTAGGTGTCTGCTCCCTGACACCTCCAACTGTCAGCCACCCCAACAGTCTTCTCTGGGCTATGCCAGATGAACTTTGCCTTGCAGGTTAACAGTAGCTGCACCCCAATTCCTGAGTGCTTTTGAAAAGCTTTCCTGTTATGTCCAGCACCTGACACTGGACACTCACAAACAATACCAGGTTTGCTGTCTCTAAGGGATCAGTATACGTAGCTTGACTGGTTCAACACAAGACCAGCTCCTATACAACATCACAGCCCTGAGATACAGGCTACGACTAGACTGCAGCGCTTTTCCAGGGTATCGAAGGTATCCCAGAAAAGCAATGCCACATCCAAGGAACATGTCCGTTTTTCCAAAACATTTTTTGAAAAAGCAGATGCGCTCTTTCATCATCCCTGTAAGCCTCATACTATGAGGCATAAGGGATGTGTTGAAAGAGCAGGTTTCTTGGAAATTTGGTGCAGTGTAGACATGCCACATTTCGGAAAAGCCTCTTTCAAAAGAGCAGTGGAAAAAGATACCCAATAGTCTAGATGTAGCCATAGTTAGAGTGAAAACAATCAGAAATGTATTATCAAGGATTAAGATTGAAGAGATAATGAATAAGGATACTAAAAACAGGATGGTTACATACAAAACAAAGCAGAGCACTTCCTAGAGCGCTGGTCTCCAACCTTTTTAGCCACAAGATCGGTTTTTCAATTTAAGTGCAATGTAAGATCTACCTCAAACCCAAATACCCTCGCCCGGCTTCCTTTGCCCCTGCTCCACCCCTTTTTCTGAGGCCTCACCCTGCTCACTCCATCTCCGTTCCTCCCCGAATCTCATTCACTTTCACCAGGCTGGGGTAGGGGGTTGGGGTGTAGGCTCTGGTCTTGGGCCAAGGGGTTTGGAGTGTGGGAAGGGACACCCTGAAGGTAGGGAGGTGGGGGTGAGCTCTGAAGTGGCCTAGGGGATAGGGCAGTTGCCTGGGGAGCACAGGGTTGGAGGTTGGAGTCATCCCCCACCCTGGGAGTGGCTGGACAGCCAACACAGGCTACCCCAGGGATGGAGCGGGCTCCTGCATTAGGAAAGCAGGATAAGGGACGCCCTGGTCATAGGGTGGGTTCTTGAGTGGCTTATGGATAGGGCATTCACCTGGAGAACACAGGCTGGGCAGTTCAAGTCCTACGCACCATGGCAGTGAACAGACAGCCAACGCAGGATAAGGGACCTGTTGGAGGAGGAGCATTTTCCTAAGGAGCACAGGATGGTGGGTTCAAGTCCCATCCCCCCTCCACCCACACTGGTATCAAGAGCCAAGGCAGATTCACTCCTGCACTACCTCCAAAAGCAGCTGGCATGTACACCAATGGCTCCATCTCTCCACGTGCTGCCCCTCCTCTACTGGCCACAGCTCTCCATTATTGATCAAAGAAAGCTGCAGGAGGGCTGTCTGCAGGCAAGGACAGCATGTGGAGACTCGCTTTCTTAGGGGCTTCAGGGATATGCCAACCACCTCCAGGAGCACAATGAACCATAAGGGTAATTACTCCAACCACAACGGGTTAGGCACTTTAGAACTTACTACTCAAAGAATTAAAGAATTAAATTTAAGCATAAGAGAGAAATGAAAGTTATGAAATGCACTGACCAGTCACAGACCACCAAAAATAACCTACTTTGCAAGCAATAAAAGTAGTAACAACAACCCCCACATGTGTGTTGGGTCAGGAGATGGGAGGGAAGGAGGGAAGGACAGTGTGTGTTTGTGAGAATGACAGACATGCACACACTATGTGAGAGTGACAGAGACAGTGGCTGTGTAGGGGCTGGCATGGGTGATGACTCAGCACCTCCCCAATATGCAGTAACCAGACTTAGGGTGTCTTTTCCATAGATCTGACCAGACACTATCAGGTCCCCTTTCCAATTGGACTTGCCAGTCAAAAAGTGGACACCCTACTGTAACACAAATCTTTATTAGAAACCTCCTGTGGTATTTATGGATAAATACCATGACAGTGGTGCGCTGCGGTTGTGAGTTTGTCAGGGTGTTAGGAGTTGTTGTTACCCAATAGCGAACCCTATGCCAGTTGGTGCAGAGTGGTGTTAAAGTCATACCACCCCTCTTTC